CGATATAGCGGCATCATCGTCAATCAGATGATATGCTGAAATTTTATTTCTCATAGTAAACTCGGCCCATCCCGCTGTCCAAAGTTGCGGACCTGATCAATCCATTTTCTACATACTATAATTACCATCCACAGGTGCTTTGTTCCACCGATATTAAATCCTAACTCGTTCAGCAGAGGAAACGCACGGGAACGTTATAGTTGGCGTCTTATTGTGTGGCAGTTTGGGAGAAATGCCGCATGCATGCATTTTATGTTCGTTGCTAAGTCTACCGTACCATTATTTTCTCCGCTGAACGGAGAACCGTTGGAAGAAAATATGGCCCGCCAACTTGTGCGAGCGAATGTGTCTTTATAGCTTTTTCATGATCCATTGATCTCCGCGTCGCGTCGTCATCATCGTCGTCCACCGGAATCGTCACACCGCTAGCTAGTTGAGTATCGTTCAATTTCACCGGTCCATGAACGGCAGTTACCACAATAAGAGAATTCCCTCTTGGAAAGCCTTATATTCATTGGATCTTTTGACAGCCCAACTTTCCGTGTTTGCTACTTTGAACGCAATCTCTCTGATCGTCGCGTCCGTCGTCCGTCGCGACCGACTCGTTGGTGTGGCGGAAATCGTTTGGACGGATATTTAAATACAGATAATTTCGTCGATTTCTTTGGTGAGCTCCAAATTTGAGACTTTAAAGACTATTTACCTTTGATTTCTATACGTGTGCCTGCATTCGTTATGGGAAGTGACCGACCGGACTTCGAGAAAAAAACCGAAAATAAATCTTTCACGGAGTAACGAATTTAATTGACGATCACCAGACGATCGGATGCTTCCCGGTCCAGCCAATAATTGTAGATTCAAAAAATCCGTGGGCTGGGATTATGTATAGATATCATCGGTAAATTATTTGTTTTGGGAATCTGTTAATAGTAGTGTTGTGGGATTGTTTTTCATTAATCCAGTCTGAGCCGTCTTTCCTCTCTGAACAGAGAAGAAAATTAACAGTTTGGGTTCAGATTGGGTAGTAGCTCTCCGTTCATTGAAGTGAAATATGTTCAGCTCCCGCTCAGAATGATCGACGCCATTATATTTGAACCTGATGATGGATCGCCTGAACGATTGTTTGCAGCTTTTACGGTGAAAAAATAGTTGGCAAGTGTATCTTGTCATTAGCGTTGTTGTCACTCACACCCACTCAAGGTGGATTACCATCTATAAACGATCATGTTTCGTAGTTACGGAGTGGCAGTTTTTCTACTTTGAATGATTTTTCTCTTGCTACCTACTTGCTGTGAGGAATAAGTGGGCGAACTTTTGGCGATCTGTAATCGTTTTGACGAACAGTGCTTTTGTTTATTCACCGTTTATTGCTTTCATTATTACATGTTTTCACAAATACCTGTTGAAAGTGGGTCAGCACTCAGTGTAAAGTTTACTTTTCAAAGAGTCATATTTATTTCACTTTTAGCTCAGTTGATCATATCCTATTTTCCGCACCCACACCGTAAGGGTTGCCATCCAGAAAGCATGTATTAGTACCGTCCCAATGCCGCGTTCATCTAGATAAAATTGATAAATAGCAGATTTTTAGCGATGGGCCCAATCTTAGATCCATAGGCCAATATTAGAGCCATTTCCCATATATATTGTAGGAATGTATGACAGTAAGTAAATTCGCTAATTAAAATTTATTTTCAACGAATTATTGACAGTGTCCGTCTTGCCCTGGTGATTAACTATTTACAAAAATGCTTTTATTTGCAAGCCTAATATCATAATTAAAACTACAAGTTTTACCAAGCTATCTAGAAGAGGTCCAGGAACAGGACAGTAGCCTATGTTGTAAGCATTTTGCTGTTTAGGTGCTTTGCAACCATAGGAATTGTGTATCGAAATTTACATCACATCTCCGCCTGAGAAATAACTTTTTGTTTTTGATTATATTTTTACATTTGTCAGCTCCAGTGAAAAGTAGCATGTTGTGTAATGCATTAAATATCGTTAAATGAGAGTGGGTATTATCAAAATTCGACTATTCAATAGTTAAGCCTTCAAACAATTAGTTGTCCGTGCTACCCCCACTGTCCGTCTTACCCCAAATACTCTTATCAAATATAAATCTTGACGCCATCGATGTATTGAATCAAAATGTCATTGTATTGAAATATCATATGGTTAACGAAAAAGCAAAAAAAAAGAGTTTTATTGACAAACATAACTGTTTATAAAAAGTTATATTTTAACAAATATCAATCGGCATATTATTATTATTATTTAGCTTTATTTAGGAGGCTTTCAGCCTTAGGCTGGTTCGCCTCCAGATCAATCGGCATATTCCATTCCCTCGGTTTGGTCACCGTTGCACCTTTTTTAAAAAAAATACACACTTTAAAGGTATGGAATAGCCATATAAAAGGTATTCGAGGTAAGACTGACAGTTGGGATAAAATGGACAGTTGATTGTTTTGTGGTTTAACTATTCAATTATAGGTGTTGTTACGTCCACTGAGTTGGGCGAAAAGTTCAACTCACTTTAAATAATTCAACTTCTCTTCCTCATTATGCTCCGAATGCGTCTTGAGCATCCCTAGCCATGCACATCGAAGACTTTGTTTGTTAGCGTTCGCTTGGATAATATATAGATCTAGTAGTAGTTAATTAATAATATAGTTTAGCAATACTTTCTCACATATCCGAACATGGCCATCCGAGCAGGAGAAAATAACTTCAGAACACCTAATTCTGTTCCTGATACCACACTTTCGGTGTCGATCGTACTGACAGAAGAGGTAAAATACCAAAGAATAATACCAACAAATTGCATGCAAAATACTTTGATAATAATAAAAAATGTATATGTTGATACCGAAAGAATACCTGCGTGGTATTGTTTTGGAATTGAAATTTCATAATTTGATATTGGAATGGAATTGTGGGAACATTTTTTTTTTGTATTTTACCTATTATGTCAGGCTAAATCATACCAATTAAATGTATCGAGATATTCGTTCCTACTTGGGAAATGCAGCCTTCAGTTCTCAATGACCTACGGTAATCATACAGCTATTTCGATTGTTTTTATGATGTAGAAACATTAAACTTTCAAGACTGTCCGTCAACCCCTAGCACCTGTTCGTTTCACCAGAGCATAAAAATGTTTGTTTATTTATTGACTATTTTTGATTTACAGTAATAGTGTTAAATTGGTTTACATATGTACCTGGAAACAATTCCCGGGAAATTTAACAAAATTATCAATTCCCTATACTCGGCAAACTGGTTGCATTTCTTTAGGTATTTTTGAACATCATACAACAATCATTTTCACTGAAAATAGACTACCCAACTTGTCATAGACTGGTTGTGAAAACCTATATGTACCATATAAATCATTATAAACTTACTGCAACTTAATGCGACGGGAATGTGCTATGTTTCCAAGTAGCACCCGGAAAATGTAATGGTTTGATTTTCGAATGGAAATAAGAACCTATCTGGAGAAGCTAATAAAAATTTCTGGAGGGAGGGAAATTGGAGGATACTACCGCAAAAAGTCAAACCAGTTTCCGGGGGAGCTCTGAAAAAACTTCCAGTGCAAATCAATCTCCAATAGAAACCTGGAATTTATTTCCAGTATAAGTCGGAAGAATAACAAGTAAAAGAGTACTACCCACCACAGTGTACTCACAGATGGCGGTAATATTTTAGCGACGATGTTTTACAATGAGAAATATTCAGTATGTTATGTCTGTTTGTCTGTGATAGTAGGTTGCAATCAGAATGACTGTTTTAACCTATGCACCTATTTCAAAAGTGTAATTAAATAACCCAAAGTTTCTTAATATAACTAAAACTATCTATCATCGCACAGATAGTGATTTAACTTTTTGCTCTAATATTGTAGAAACTTGATGTCTTCAGCAAAATTGCTTACCTTAAAAACCGAACAACTCTTCTCAAGATACCAAAGCTCCACAACCATGCAAAATTCAATGTTTGCTTCAAAATCTGAACTTTTGCTAAGCAACAATATGGTTAAAATCACCTACTTTCGAGAAAATAATGAAAAAGCTTCAAAATAAGTGCTTACTTCAACTGCAGATATCTGCAGAAACTATTGGCACCAGTTTTACGCTTTTCAAAACTCGAATACAAAATTTTTTGATTGGAAAGCTATTGCATTAGCTTGAGTCTACCTTCAAAAATAGTAAAAAAGCATTTTCCATGCATCACGTTTAAAAAAAGATTAGGACAGTTAAATTTAAAATGACCTCACAACTGATTTCGGTATCCTAAAGAATATAGGTAGATAAATGCAGAATGCTACAATTTTTTTTTATTTTGTCGCTATATTTTAATCTCGGGCCCATAGTGCTGTGATTAGGAGTTGAAGGTATGGCTTAATGAGAATTATAAATTACTTCACTCAGCATACCCACATAAATAGCCCAAATAATTCAACTTCATCTGACATCATTGAAGTGAGTCCATTGTTGTGTACCTAAAAGCTTGCTGCTGAAACCATTTAAGGATTATATATAACATCAAATTAGACTCCACTAATTTGACCTACCTTCAAGATGGTCACAGCACAGCATGCTTGGATGTTTGAGTTAATGAATGTGTCGCTATTTTTTTACTTTCACTTCACTGGGTCACACGTTCTTCTTAAGTCTGTCCATTGGGAAGGTTTTGCTTCTCATCGTTGCTGCTCAATCAGCCGAAAAAAGTTATGCTTACCTGTGATAATGCCTCCAGGGTTCGATCGGTTGAATGAGTCATTACCTTGGTCACAGTGGGTAATTGCATGCCTATTCATTGCAACGGCACTTCTATCATTGTTCTTCATCTACCCTCCTGAGGTGCAATCAGAACGCTCGAACCCGAAACAAATCATTTTAATCAGTCATACGCGAACCGTTCGATTTCACGACGGCTAATTATTGTATATTTTATCCCTGCTAACATCTATTTCTTTTTGATTTACTTGGATCTTTTAGCTTAATTTTGCTGCTAATGTGTGTGCTTTCGACGCTGCAAGCTGCGCCCAATGGTCACCAGAGCGACAGCAGTGCCGAGCTGGTGACGATGAAAGGAAATGAGAACGAAACAGTCAAAACGGCTAAATCATTAACGGCCGTCAGTAGGACCAAGAAATCCAACCTCAAGTCGACACCAATTACCTACATCACTACGCTAGCTGACGCAGCCCATCAGCACCACGTAAAACTGGCACCGAAGAAGTACAACAAACCGATGGCGAAAGCTCGTGATGACAAAGAGCTGCAGCAGCACAAGAAAGTCAAAGGCAAGCATCATCACTCGGAAAAGTCCGCCGGAAAGTCTCTGGCGGTGATGCCGAAAAAGGAATCTTTGAATAATCCAGCACTGCTCAGGTGAGTTGGGTGTAGGGCTGTAAGGAAAAACAGCTATAAAACTTGTGTTGCGAAAATGGGCACGATAAAATTGCGGCACCTGAATACAGGTTGGATTTAATTTGTTAAACAGTGCTCCATAACATTTCAAAAGTGAGCATGTAAAACTGACTGACATTCCTGTCACTTGAATAAGAAATACAGCAAGTGAAATTTGTATGAAGATCTTTGTAAACAGAATAATCTATTAATATATCATTGATTTGTGCTATTTTTGGTGGGGCGTTTTATACACTTCTACCCTATTTTCAAACAATAAGTTATGCATCTTTATAGGCATAACTTAATTTTTAATGGCATTCTTCAATTCATTTGGCATTTTTTTTTAAATCTATTCATTTATTAAGGCTCCATTGCGTTACCTTTGCGGAGTCATATTTCAATGTGAAAACCTTCAATTTTTTATAAAAAATCCACACGAAAAATAGAGGTGGGTTGTCCTCAGTAGGCCAAACAATTTGTTTTGTAAACTATTTTTGTATACGAATTTTCTGCCATCCAAAACGCTACCATTAATCTCCTGAGGTTGCAACTCCGTGAATGCCATATCACCTGAAATTACACAGAGAACCAACAGATGACTAACTAATATCCTAAACTTGTGACCTCAAACTTTATAATAGACAATAACAGCGTTGGTCGCGTCCGAGTGCCAGTTAATTAAGGAACGGGTAGGAACGTGTTGACATGGTACTCGGATTGTTGGATGCTGAGAAATCCACTGCATTTCTACGATAATCACTGGGATGTTAGATAAAAGGATTATGTTTGCAGCAGGGTTCGTTTTAACAAACGGTGCGCTGATTTAAAATAATTTTCATGTTAAAAAAGAAAGTGACTAGCAAATTTTGATTGAGAAGGGGCCTGAGATCAAACTCATGATATTCTGCTCAGTCAGCAAACATGGTTGCTCTATGGTCTCCGAGCCCCTCATATTACATCATATTGATTTGTTGTTGTAATTAATAAAAACCAGCACCGACGACAAGTTTCACAAAATACACGATGAGCAAGCATTGTGACTATAAATCTCTCTAATATGAAGGGTCCTTGGATTGATCCAACGATTTTATGATCTAAGCAAAAATGGCCCAGTCCGTCATATCACAATACATCACTCATGACTATAGGCGTGCGCATACCTCTTCATTAGGGGGGCCAGCCAATTAATAGGGAGCGTCTTATATATTAGGTGCTATTGTGGGGCATATTGATTTAAGTGAGACAGAAAGTGGTGTTTGTGCTGTTTTCTGTTTGCATAATGTATTTTTTTTCCAACATTTAAGTGATTTAAGAGGGAGAAGGAATGAACTGTATATTAAACTGTAATAAATTAAACGACCAAAATAGTGCAATGTATGTATTTATGTATTTGTTCCCAAAATAACACGAAAAATAAGTAAAATCTCATCGACTGCTGATCGTTTACCATGAATTTATTAGTTTTTTTTTTTTGAGATTCCGTTTGACCAAGACTCAATACCGTTCGATAGGGCGTAGTTCTGCTGAAATTTCCTTAGCCTAGTGTCGAGTAACAAATTTAACTGATATCTCAGCCTGCTGAGATTATGCGAAATATTATCCGAAACTCAACAACCACATGTTAGTATAATTAGTAAGGCTGAAGCTTAGCTCTAGTTAATCTCATCATACATTACTGAGCTTTGGAAAATAAAACTACGTGTCTTTTGCGTCATGAAGGGTGTAGTAGAAAGAGTTGGAATATTAATCATAATAAATAATGTAATATAACTGAAACATATCGACAGACCAAAGGCAGACAATAAGAACGTTTGCCTGACTAAAAATAAGATTGCCACATTGCCAGTTAAGATAAAAAATATGCATTGTAACTAACAAACGTAGCAATTTTCAATGAAAGCTGTGAGTGATAAATTATCTTACGCAGGATATTACACTTTTCTCTGAAATAACGATACAAGGAATAATATAAGCATGTCCCATTGCCCATAAAAGAAGGATAATAAATAGGAATTCAAGTAGAGAAGGGACAGTTATGCTTCTACGGAAAGATTAGTTAATGACTGCAAAATGGCATCACTGAGACCTTAAAGTATAACTGAATTAACCATATTTTCACGTGCTGGCTCATTCTTTTAAAACCAATCTGTGTTCACGATGCACAAAAACGCCTCTCCCTTTCTCTAAATTTGCAATGTTTTTCTTCTCCCTTTTACAGCAAATTGGGTCTCGGTAAGCTGCACGTCTCCTCTAGCCACCACAAGAAGCGATTAGCGGTTGAGTCCCGCCACCACGGTCGACCCGATGACTCACATATGTTCGTGATCAAGCTGCCACCGAATCCCTACTACTACACCAACAATGGACCGGTTCCGGCGCCGAACGCGATCGAGGATGTAGGCAAAAAGGTACGTACATCCGAACCTCTTGAATGCGCACCTACATAGGTATAGCATAAAGGGAAAAATTCCCATTGATTGTCGTGATGCACAGGTTAATCCATAGATTACGGACAGTCAATAGGTCTCCTCACTCTTCGCTAGTGGTCGGTATCACACGCTCATTTGCGTCCATTCAGCCGTGACGAAGGCCTCTTATTCATCGGTGTTTTTATCCCTCATGGGATTTTCAGATTCATGGAAGACGAAATAACAATAAAAAAAAAACAAAATGTGCTAGAGAAAACCACAACAACCGAACGACCGATTAGCTATGAACACTCATTCGCCATATCTACAAGTATGATATGGTGTATACAATTTTGTTTGCGAGTTGGATAAAGTAGTCCAAATATTTGCTCAAACTAACGTCAGAATAAAAATGATGCTTGGATCAGGAAATAGTTTACTGTTTTATTATCAATTGATAGCTAATAGCTTCGATAGATAAAATTTTGTTGGATTGGTGACCTTAATAACCCATGATATTGCTGGATGGTATTTATGGTCGTTGGTTTGTTTCGTATTCGTTACCATTAAACAATTTGTATTCAAGTTTGAAGTTGTTATTCAGTCCTGGAATGAATCAATTATTTATTATGTTACGGTGTTTCGGTTCTTTTATGATCGTTTTCAAGAACTGGATACATCAATTGAGCTGAAGTAGAAGTCTAGGCTGGCAAAATATGTGTTTTTTTGTGACTTGTTTACTTTTTTTAAGCCGGTCATCTAAAGGTTTCAAGTTAATCTGTTTTCAACAAATACTTTCTTTTTTGTTAAAAAATTAATTGATGAACGAATTTTACTGTTCTCAATTATCAGGGGAATTTATTTTTGTGAATTGATATATACGAACGAAGTAGGATAGAACATTAACATGTTCTATATTATTCATGGTTTTTCTAAAATTCCCTACCTGCCTTGTAAACTTATTGTTTAAATCTTACGTTATAAGTGCATGATACCTTACGCAAATCAGTGAAAGTCTCTTTAATAAAGAAAACTTATCTAATCTTACTCTAATCGTCACGAGTTCAAATCTCATCCCCAGACATGCCACGAATGTCCTAAAAGGTGTTAAAGTGACTATATCTAACAAAACGAATTAATATACGAGTATACGCCAAATTTCAGGTGGTTCCTAACGTCCAAATAAGAAGAAGAGGAATGATGATTATATTATTAATTCTGCTCCGTATGATATGATATAAGAACAATTTTGAAAATAACCCAAAATTTTTTTTTATTTTTATTTTTTCATCAAAGGTCCCAGTGGGTTTCAAGTCAAACGGAAAGCCCGGTCGCATCTATCATTGGAATATCCCCGTACTGAAGAAAATCCTCGGAAACAATCAAGGACGAAACCCTAATTCGCGCCATCATGACAACATTGACGAGCTGATCGACATTAAGGATATTCCAACGTGGAGTAAACCATGGGAGAATGAAGCGTTGGATAAATCGTTAATCAAATTCAGCGCTGCAGACCATGCGGAGAAACTTCAGAAGAAGAAATCTCCGACGTATTACGCACCTATCAAGGCCAAGAAAAGTGCTCATGGAAAGATCTATGCAAGCAATGGCAAACCACAGAGCTTCTACGTGATTGAGAAGAGCCTCCAAAAAAATCTGAAACCCATTCAACATCACAAACTGATTCCGTAAGAGGAATTACACCGATAACGATCTTCTTGCCAGTTTGTCGAGTAGTAGAGGATGGAGAATAGGTAGTAAATAAGGGAGGTTAAATCGTGTAACTTGAAGCTCACTGCGAGCATATAAAACAACGTACACACACATTGAGCTTTATGAATAATACAAGAGAGCTTTTCTGTAGAAGAAAAGGCGTTACGAGGTCTTTGGTTGGTGTCTTTGGTGATCGTTCATCGAGTCGTTCGTGAGATTGATCGATTTCGATGGAATAGTTGCAAAGACAGCAACCGAAATGGTCATTTTTCGGATCATATTTATTTTTATCTCAGCTAAATCTGGGTATTAACGAACGAAATAAATGCGCACATTTTTAATATTAATAACAAATAATTTTAAGGTTATATATAGATAGCTAGGCGTAGATCTTTAATCGAAAGCAATTGAAAGACTAAAATTTTTATGGTAGTATTTAAGGGAAATGTAAAATACATACAAAATATTGACGATAACGATAAGAATTATCATCGCTTCTACGGAACTTAACAAGATTTTGGACTTCCATTTCTCTAATGTTTAGATACTGCAAGACCGGTTCCAAGTGCATCATTCCAATTCAGTGATAAATTTTGTAAAAATATATCTCGTAACAAAACGTCTTTACACGTTTCATAATAAATACATTTTTAAAATAGATGTTAAATTTCTTATTGGGTGTCCGAACAGCCATAAGCATTAGACTGATGCAAAATTTGAAATTTTCGCTCCACAGTTCTTAAACTGTTCCAAATTGGGTCCTGCTTAGCCTCCCAAAATTTGAACTACTTTAGTAAGAAACTGACTTGGCACAAACCATTTCAAGTTTATTTCGGAATTACTATAGGAAAACTTATGTTTTTGTTCATATAGATAGATTATATATTATATAGACAGTTCACCACATCACTAAGCTTTTAAAAATGATAGCATTGATTGTAGACAATTTTCTCAGCTACAACTTTGTTGGAAACCACTTTTCAATCAAATGTAAGGAACAAAAGTTATTATTGTTTGAAGTCACTATTGTCTTATGATTATGCTCATTCAACTGTTCAGCAGGCAACATTGGTGTTACCGCTGCGAAGAATAGAGCACAAATATCATAGCTACTATGTCACACTGCAGAATACAATATCAATCTCTTAAACAATTAATAACAATTTAATTTGACTATTGGCTGAAAAAAGATATGGCGCAAAGTTGTAGCTTAGAAAATATCCCGTAAGAATAGCTATAGAAATTTTCGAAAAAGCGATATGGAAAATAGGCAGAAGACAATGAACAAAAAGTTTGGTTTTCCCATTGTAATTTCCATATAAACTTCCAATAGCTATAGAAATTTTCACAAAGTCAGTTTCTTACCAAATGAGTTTAAATTTTGGGAGGCTAATCAGGACCTTATTTTAAATCGTTAGAGCACTGTGGAGTGAAAATTTCAAATTTTGCATCAGTCCAATAAGCATGCTCACAGAAGAGAGGCAAGTATTGTTTCTACATTATAGAAACTTTGGATCAGGATCGTATAGCTGAAATGCATTTTCAAATTAGTTGGATTTGCGGAATTACTCACGAATACATATGGAGGTGTGACTTTTTAAATATAGTTTAAAGCATCTGCATTTATCCACCTATGGTGAGATCTAACCCTAACTAACTATTTTAAATTCCATCAGAATTGCTCACAACAGTCCGCATTCAGAGAAAATAATTAAGATGACTTCTGTAAATTACGTCCTTTGTATTATGGTTAGCGAAAAAACTTTGTAAACTCTACAAGGGCCAATCCTATTTTTGCGATATCTTCGAATATTTTAATCACTCAAATGATTGGTAAGTAATTGATTTGTTTATGGTGGGGATAACTAAGTTAAGTCCCACTTTTTTGTTCTTAAAACAGTGGGTTCTAAAGTTTTTACAATATAAATTTTTAAGGGTTCCTACTAGTGCTGTGACGATATTGATAAGTCCGATATTATCAATAAATATCGGGTCTACATTATCGATACGATAACCGATATTTAAACAACGATAACGCAATAATAATCGAAGGATAACCGCCGCACTCCGTACGGAAGGAAAAAGATATGTAGGTACGTGAGGAGTGTTATCGAACTAATGGCATGTGCTATTTTTTGGTATCTACTTAACTTACTTAAGACAAGTAAGAAGTCTCCCATACAAATGAAACAGAAAAATATAGTATGCTGTTTTGAATCGGTGCATAAACTCAAGCTATAGTATTGAATCCCGAGCCAGGCCGGGCACACTCAGCTAGTATGGAATAAAAAAAGGGAAGTTTCTCGAAGTAATTGAAAATATTCGTTATGCCTGTCATCTGGCACAATGCTTATAGGGTTTAGAGCATTCCGCACTTTATCCCTCTTTTTAAACGTATTCTTTTTTTTTCAAAATTGAATGTTTCCACCTTTCCATACGTACTGCCAGATTTGATGAAGAATAACAAATTGTCGATATATTGCTGAAAATATAACACCCCTTCTTCGCAGTAAACTCGGCCTACCGGTACGAAATTTGGCCTCACGAATTTAAATCCAATGGCTTCGCACTTCGGTCTATCGAATGGAGGAAATATTTAATTCTATCGGAGTGCTTCATTAGTTTTCGAGAATATTGAGTATAAACATTCAAATCACGTTTTCTTACTGACTGCGATTGGTAGCTTTTGAACTAAAATATCGTACCATACGTATAATTGTTTCGTTTATGGGGTAATCATAGATATATTTGACGTTTTCTGCTCGATAGGCCCAGAATGGGCGATTAGGCCGAAGTAGTCCGCTCCCCTATTACGCTTCAGCTAATCTTCAGCTCAACGTCAGTCATCGTGGCAATAGTTTCCTTTTCCGAGAACAACTACCAAGCACCGTTGTAGCAACGTTTATACACGAAACTAATGACAGTTTTTTACAACATTTATCACTGGAGCGAAGAGGTAAGACAAAGTCTGCAATACTTTACGCACATATTGACAGATTTTTATGGGGTTTTGCCGTGGGAGTAAAGAGTTTAAATCAATAAAGTGAAAAGCAATTGGCAGTGATGCATTTCAAGGACTTCGCCCGCCGAGTAAGGGAAGGTCCATTAATTATGTCACGCAAATTTAGTCCATTTTCAACCCCCCCTCCCCCCTTTGTCACATATTTTGTATGGAACTTAATTTTTTTTTGTATGACTCGTCACAGTTTCCAAAACCCCCCCTCCCCCCTAAAAGTGTGACATAATTAATGGACGACCCCTAATGGAACGGGTACAGCGTGTTTGACTGAACAATCGGCGCGCCGGTAAAATTGTGTCGGCGGCCGCATAGCCCAAAAAGCACCGGTGGCTTCGGCTGTTGTTTTCACTGGGTCGTCGTCCGGTATTCTAACGACGTGCCCAGCCCACCGTTGGTGGTTATCTCAGTAGCTAGTACAATTCGTGGTTCATTCGCCTCCTCCACGTTCCGTCTTCTGACTCCGCTGTAGATCGCAACATCGTTCGTTCGTAAAATACCATGAGCATAGTCCAAGTCTAGTGGTCGTAGAGGGTCACTGGTCTTGTAGATAGTCGTCTTCGTGGTGCAGCGAATTTTATTCGACCGGAGCGTTCTCCGGAGTCAAAAGTAGGCATTCCATGCCATAATGCGTCTTTGAATTTCTCTGCTGGTATCATTTTCGGCCATCACCAGTGAGCTCAAGTCCATCAGCTTGCCAAAACCCCCTTCGAAATTCAAAGGAACTCGATAGCGTCTCCGATACTCAAACAACACACATCCATCGCCTTGACCAATCGCGTCAGTTTATCTGAAAATCACCGTACATAATCTGTAATAGAGGATCTCGATCGATTGTGTCGTATGCCGATTTCAAATCTATGAACAAAAGGAGGGTGAGCATGTTGTATTCGCGACATTTGTGTAGAACCTACCGGTAGTTGCAGCAATGCAACTTGTCGCCCTTTATGCAAATCGGGCATACGACACCTTCGAGTCACACCTCCGATAGTAACTCCTCCTCCCCAAACTCACTTGGTAGATTGTCAACCCAAGTTGCTTTGTTGTTTTCAGTCGACCGATCTCCTCCTCATCTTCTTGGAGATCAGGGACTGGTAGCCTGTCATCTTCTGTGCGTGCTCCTAGATCTGTTGCCACTTTTGATCTCGGCTAGTACTGCTTCCACCTCTCAGTCACCTCACACTCGTTCGTGAGAAGGTTACCGTCCAAGTCCATGCACATATCGGCTTGTGGCACGTAACCTTTGCGCGAAGTATGTAGCTTCTCGTTGAACTTCCATGTATCGTTTACGCGGTACAGCTGTTCCATCTCACGATCTCGGTCCTCCTGCTGGCGCTTCTTCCTTGCAAAAACCGAGTTTTGTTTGTTCCGTGCTTATCTGTATCGCTCCACATTCAATCTCGTGCGGTGTTGCAGCATTCTCGCATTCTCCTCTACTATCAGTTGCATTCATCGTTAAACCAATCATTTCTTCGCTCCGTGGTCGCAGCATCTAGTGCCGGGCAACTCCAGCGTCCCGTAATTGTTCAATGTTGAGTCGCAGCGTTCGACCCACCCCCCCGGGTGTTATACACCGTCGAGAGTTTTAAGCACATTCACACTTCAACTAAGTCCAAATCTATGTTCGCATTGCGATACGTGCGGATGTTGATAATGTCAGAGAAGAATCATTAGAGAAGGTCATTAGGTCGATCATTGTTAGTTTATTAAAGATACTTTCAGGCTTGGGTTGGTCACCTCTGGAGATCGATTATATAATTTTTTAGAGTGTGTATGAAATCCTTTCACTATAAAGATTAGTCTGTATTTTGGATGTGCATCTGCAATGATGTCAAAGCTCATTTTTTCAAGGGCATTGAAATAAAATAACCACATAAAACACATTTTTGAATAAAAATCTATATTTCAAATTCCTTTAAAAAAACTTATGTACAGACATATAACAGATGGTCTAGTGATTTGAATCAATAGAATGTTCAACAACAGCATACTTGTGATCTTTACTCAAAGTGATAGGACCAGAACAAATAGAAGTTGTTATACTAAATAGAACGTTAAAATTCATAGAGTTCAGGATAAAACATGTATTAAATTCGTTAACATTTAAAGTTGATTCTCCTCACAACTTTATCTACAGTAGGTACCTTTCAAATCCCTTTCGCTTTGCAGCAAAGTGCTCCTACTTATGGTGATAAAATTTACTACAATTGTCACAGATAGTCAAATTTGGATAATCTCTATAAATTGTGATGAAGCGTGATGAATTGGTTACGGTAATCACACCGACACTGCCGAGACTGTCATCTCCGGTGCGTCCGTGAAAGGTTTGTGATTTTGATACACGTTCTGCTTGGATCTAGGAACCTGCTGCTTGGCATCCTTGGCAAGGGGCTCGAATACCCATCCACCCTGGCCGTCGAATTCAAGGATGTGGGTATGGAATTTCCTACGTAGTTGAAGAAACAGTTAAAATCTGATCATGTTTTATGTCACAACCCATGGTAACCACCAAGCCTGTTTATAGCCCGATAAGAGCCGTTTTTGCAATATGAGGCTGATATACGGTTTTAATTTTTTATATTTGCCTTATATCAGCATTATATTGCATGATGGTTGTTTGGGAATTATGCTTACCACAAAGTTGGTCTATGAGTGATAGTAAGGAGTGTGATTCCCATTGAAATAGCTGTTTCGTAGATGGAACTTTCGACGTCAATCGAAACAGCGCTGGTACATTCATCCAGAAGGGCGTAATGGGGCCTAGAAATAGAGGAATAATGTATTTAAATCTAAATCGTATAGTTTCGTTCAAAGCAGGAAATAATTAACCTAACAATAAAACAATTTTTGAATATTAATATATCGTATACAATGATATGTAAACATAAAAACGCGTAACAACCAAATGCGAGTCTCTTTTTCTTTAACAGATTTAGGTAATCACCCAAGTAAACAGCTAATGTGCAATATAATAATCGTATATCAGCCATATATTGCAAAAAGGGTGGTTAGTTGGGCATTTGATTACCTATCACTGATCATATTCGTGATATTCATCATGAAATTGAGACAACATTCTCATTTATTCAGTCACCCCACAATTGTGGGTTGGCTGTATGTAACAATTGTGGATCGGTCAGTTTTGCATGGTAATCAAATGGAAATGGAAATTTTGGGTGACTGTATTTTATTGCTAACACATTCACACTAAACGTGCGATAACTGAAAAAAATCTATTTTACTATTTTCAAAATTCCAGCATACCGTAGACAAATATTGAGGTTATCCACTGTCAACTTATTGTTGTCATTGAGAAGGGTGGAAGACAGATGCGATGCTTTAAAAAAAAAAATTAAAATTCGCTTTCAGTTAACGGATGTTTAACGTGTGATATGCTGACACCATACAAAAGTCAATCATAGTAGATAAATGATACAATTTAATAAATTTCTGATAAAAAAAAACTTAAATATATCTTTTCAGTTATTATTTAACTGTTTTATGATGCTATCAATTTAAAAGAGGCAATTATATTTCGTTAGCTTAACAGAAATGTTTATATGAGTGTGTTAATAAACCAATCATGATTATTCGGGAATAACGAAATACCAATAAAAATTACAATATATCAAAAAGAACAAAATAGGTTGTATTTAGACATATATAACTCATTAGCTAAACATGTTGATATTGCACACTTAGATTTTTTCGCCGAGATGGGCACCACCGAGCAGCTCGGCATTTTATTTTGCTGGATCTCAGTGAAAAACTTGCCGAGATTCAGCTAACAAACGGAAATTTTGCCGAGATCTCAGCTAACAAACATATTTTTTGCTGAATTTCCAGCAAAATAAAATGCCGAGCTGCTCGGTGGTGCCCATCTCGGCAAAAAAATCTAAGTGTGTGGTTCTTATCTTTCATGTAGTCAATTATTTTAATGTTCATACTCAATCGGTATCAATCGATGAGCATGATCCTACCTACCATCTCTATTACGAAATTGATTGATTCAGTCATGTTAAAATTTGCTCGCTACACACTTATCCAGTCAGTCATTTTTACCGAGTTTTTGAATTGCGAAACTGCTCGGTAAAATTAAAAAAAAAAATCTGAGAAAAAGTCAAAGATGCGAAAATGTGTTACGAAAATTTACAGACTTACTTCTGTTAACCCCGTTTAATGATGAAAAATAAAATTTGTCGATTTTATCGAATCTTTACGAATAACGGTCATTTGAATTTTAACCGAGTTTTTCAGTAATTCAAAAACCCAGTAAAAAATACTGACTCCTGTAAAAAAAAATCTAAGTGTGTACACCTTATTTGGTGATTCGCGAGAATTATAATTTTTCAGCACACAGAAAGAATGTGCCTTTTTTCAAAAAATTACGGTGATTAGGAACGTAATGAAAGTATGCCGCGAATAGACTTGGATGACAGACTATGAGCACGAGCATTATTTGTATAATAATTATGAGCACTATACAAAAACTATACAAGTGTGACCATGGATGTGCTTGGAATGAAATTGAATTTATTATACAAATAATGGTCATGTTCATGGTTTATCATGCGAGTATATCCGCGGTATTAGTTCACTCGTTAAATTACTCATTCTGAAGAGGAATGAAATATCTGTTGCACCTAAAAATATGTTGATAAATATTTTGGAAAATATGGGGTGTCTAATCTGCCCTAGGTATTCATAATGCCTCTAGTTGCTGCTTCCAAGTAATTTCAGTGATATTAAATAAATAAATACCAGATCGGGGGTGAATTGAATCACTTAACCGTATTATTTTCTCCCTATAGTGGTTTTGGCAATCACGGGAACTACCTGAATATCCTTCACAACAAATCTACAACCGATACATACAAACCACACTCCCGCAACTCAAAAGAACTTTGAACACCTTCTCATAATGTGCTGCCTATGAAGGATTTAGGCATCTTCATAATTGAACGTCGACGTCGGACACTGAACCAGTGGAAACTCCTGGTCTCACAGGTAAATAAACAAATTTCAGATGTCCCGCCGAAGCCAAACAATATTGATTTTAACACCCGGCGTGATGGTTAGCATCCATACCTCTCACGCCAAAGCCACGAGTTCACCCCCCGGACAAGTCACGAATGAACCAAGAGCGTTAAAGTGACCATAATTTAAAAAAAAAACACCCATCATAACAATTTCTTTTGCCGCAAGTGATTCACGGGCTGAAAGCATTTCACGGCTCTTAAACTCATTGGATGAGCACCACTGCTCTAACATCTTGTGGACCACTTATTAGGTGAGGAATGCATGAACCAGTTAACATTTGGGTGTAAACGCCCAGTAGGTGCAGCCTTGGAAATCTTTGGAAATAACGCCCTTTTTCAAATAGTAGTTTACTTTGATAAATAGTACACGAGCAACACAAAAATGGGAAATGCAAATTTCTAAGTTGATCGAAGCTCACTCTAAAAGCCAAACTAAAAGCCTCACTATTGACATTTACACTCACCTAGCGTGTTTGTCATTGAAAAAGGAGGCACAAACAGCACACAAGTTCTATAAAAGTTTAAATAACCTTTATATAATTGGATTTGGCTGTAAATAAGTTTACCTGTCATAATTGCATGAATATGTGTTACTTGGAGGATTTACGCACAGCTGTCCCAAAGTCATATTTAAGAAGAAATAATAGTTTACGCAAAACAATTGCGAAAAAATAAGAATATTCAATAACGAATCAAAACAAAACAATACCGAATCAATTATCACTTATGTAAAGCAAAAGTACAAAACATAATCAATGAATCATGATTTAAGTTAAACATTATAGAATATAAAAAGCTGAACACAAACCACATGAACAGTTTTAAAGGGATCCCCCTTTGTAGATAATAATGCATCAAAATCATCTATGAAATTAATGTGGACACCAGGGGAGAGGAGACCACCTCTAAACCGTTCATTTGCTAAATGGATAGCCCCTAAGAAGACATCATTATTATAAGCATTATCTTACTTGTGATAGAAAAGCCTAGCCATGGCCATTCGTTGTTTTTCGCCTCCAGAGAGGGTATCCTTCCAATCTCGAATTTCGTCAAAACTATCCCTAAAAAAAAATCCAAATTGTGTTAGCAATCCAAACATTTCCACATCGCTTTAGTTTTCATACCTGTCAATAATATGCTCTAGTGACACCATTCGCATGATTTCTCTCAGCTGGCATTCGGTGATGTTTTTACTCAACATTTCCTTACGCGTGTCTGGGTAGATGATTTGGTCCCGCAGACTTCCACACGACATGTATGGTCGTTGCGGGATGTAGAACATGCATGGTTTACCCTGTGATCGCTTAGGAATGCGCAGTGTACCACCGTAAATCGGCCACAATCCACTCAGGATGCGGAATAAGCTTGACTTGCCACAACCATTTGGTCCCGTAATGAGTAAATGCATTCCCGGTGCTATGGTCAGCGTTAAACTGGACACCACAATGTCACAGTTTGGTGTTACTACAGGAACATTATCCAGCGATATTGTCATGTCACCTTCATTCTCACTACACATAATTGTTCCTTTGGCTACAGGCTGCCCATTTTTGAATTCAAGTATCCCTCCATCATTCCGATCCCCAGTTACTACTGTTTTCTGGTATATACCATGCGATACATCATCAAACACCTCAAACATGCCAGCGACGCGGCTTGTGTAACCAGCAAGGGCTACAATTTCCTTATACGATGACATAAGACGTTCAATTGCATCGGCGCCACTCAGCAATAGATTTCTAGCTGTCGTAAAGTACTGCGTCCTTTCGCTGACTCCAAATTCTGATTCAGCCTTGGTCTTACTATGTTTGCCACTCGGAAGACTGTTAACAGTTAAAATTGGTAAGGAAACCATCACCATTCCAGTACCGGACCAGACATATTTCATAAAGAATTGCTCCAACATTATGAACCAGAGTTTTTGTGTGAAGATGTTGTTCATCTGAGTCACTAGCCTTGAATATGCATCCTGAAGCTGAGCGTGTTCCACCTGTAAGTAATAAACGATAGATGGTAAATTAATATTCACATCAACAATCCAGGAACGGATTCCAAGATACCAACCATGTGACCACCGTAAAAGGCAATCTCCTCAGCATTCGTGATGATCTTTGAATGCACATGTCGCAGATATCCATTGCGGTTCGCCTCTTCCGAAACGAGCTGCCCGAATTTGGGTGACACTATTCGCAGAATGTGCGCCGTTGTCCCTATCACAATTGTAGCCAACGCCGGACCCATCACAATATTCGCTTGCATTTTCCGTGACGAACGCGCCATAGCAATGCCAATCAACATCAGATCGAAGCATGGTTTCGTCAGGTGGCTGTACAGGTGAGCGACCGAGCTCGAGAAGGTCGAAATGTCGTCGGTTAATCGATGATCGGCATTCTCGATCCTGCCGTCCAGGTTCGATACTTTGTAGTACGTTTGGTTCTTGAAGTACATATCGTAGGCATGATTCACCAAGCGAGTTCTGCAAAAATAGGAATACATAATGTGGAGAGTGAGTACTACATGCGCAAATAAAATCAATAATGATATAATAATATGGTGCTAATTATGCTACCATCCATTACACCGCTATGAACACAGGTTGTAAAATGTGTAAATAAGATAACAGTGTGAGTTGTAGCTTTGTACATATTTATCCACTAAGTGGCTGGGTCTGATAGAACTTGCGAATCGGTTTTGAGTTGGGCTAGAGAACCGCACACAGTACAGACGAGTAAACACATAACTCTGTGTGTTTGCACGTTCAAAAGGAGAGAGACGTACAGTGTGTGTTAGCTATGAGCCGGTGCTTATACTTATGTGCGCACATGTAAAATGTGCTGAATATGTAATCGGTATTTTCTGAATTTGTATAAAAATACAACATGTTTATAAATAATGTATGCAGGGTGCCAGAACCTTTCAAACCTCTGTCTTCAAGTTTAATGTTTTTTCTAGTCGTATTAAAATTCAGATCCAAAAAAATAGATTTTTTTTAGGTTACGAACTCATGTTGCTCGATATCTGAAGTTTGTTTTCACCAGACTGTGACCGATTTTTAAAATTCGAAGTCTAACATAATTTTTAATTTTTCCTGCTTCGGAAAATGTTGAGCATTTCGATTTTGTATACCAAAAATTTATAAAAGTATCATTACCTAGCAATAATAATCCTTTTAATTTTGTCCATATAACTCTTAACGATTAGTATTTAGACCCCGACAATTAAGCAAAGCAAAATGATAAAACATCTTTAGCATCCCTAATTTATTAAAATCTTCAATAAACGTATAATCGTTATGCGCTTTTGTTGCATGAGAAGGATTTTAATATTCTACAATTTGGTGAACGTTCAATACTTAAAGATTTTTTTATTTCATCGAAGACATTCCCAATTCCTCATCTCATCTCATCTGTTTATCTTTAGCAACAGATTCTTAAGAAAGTTTTAGAGTCAATGGAGTTTCATGGAAGAGAAAAAAACAAAGTTACAAATTGGATTTAAAGACCAAAATATTTTAAAATTTTAAAATCTAAATAATAATTCTCAATCCTTTAACAAAAACCAAGAATTTTGATGATTTTCGTTGTGTGTAATTATCAAGAAAAAATATTGTTGCATTTTTTACGAGTTAACTGAAATAATGAGTCTAACTTCAATCTGATTCGGAAACTGTAAAAAAGATGACAAAATCTAGTTAAAATAAAAATTTAAACTTTTTTTAGATACATGAAATCTAAAAAAAAAAAAATTGCGGCTGAGTTAGTGGATACACCTATGTCTTCGGATACTGATTGTTGCCATCTTGGATTCCAATATGACGTCGGACACCAAGTTTTAGCTTCTACACGTTGGTCTTGTTCCAAATTACCTATAGGGTATCTGCCAGTTTGTCAGAATCTCATAGCCACCATATTGAATCCCAAATTGGCGTCTGACATTGATTGTTGACTTGTACACCTTTAAATTCCGTTATAATTGCTTATCTTTTTGACAACAACACCGAGTGGTGTTGAGTACTTGGCACTGATGAAGTTTGCAAGTAGTAGACGAAATACGCGTATCTGTCAAAATATAAGCAATTATAACGGAATTTAAAGGAAATAAACCAACACACTCAAAGCTCTTCATAAAGAGATTCCGTTAAGAGGTTCGACAAATTTAAAAGATTGACTTGTACACGTCAACCTTGTTACAAAAATACCCATATTGTGGGGTATCGGAGGGGCACGCACTTCTCGGTTTGAGTGCGTGTTATTTAAAATACAGGTATTGGAAGATTAAGTGTGTTTTTTAACCGATTTGAGTATGAATATTTTAATGCCTGGTTTTGAAAGTAGGTGCATAGGTAAAAAGTGAGGTTACGGGACGCCACTGACTTTAAGTAGTATTGCCGATAATCAACAAATAATTTACGATAATAAGTGTATTGGAAGGTATTTAAATAGTAATGAAAGTTATTAAACATCTATTGTTTTGGCAGTAATAAGAGTATTCAGTTAATTGAATCGTGTATTAAAAATAATGAACGAGAAGATTAAGTAATAAGACTTAAAGTAAATGGAAAGCTCGTTGCGTTGCACTTTGAGGATTCTAGGAACAAAAAGGATTAAAATTTGATGCAGCTGAAATCTCAAATATGTTAAAGAACATTTCCAACTCAAAACGGAAAAAAATGTATTTATTTACTTTGCTACCCAAGGTGACATTTTCCATTAAAAAAATTATTAAATTTTCCGGCCTTAGTTTTTGTATTATATATATATTTTTTTTGGTAAAAAGTGTTTTTTCCTAAGTTCACCCTTTTTCAAGTTTTTGCGAAAATTGAAAATTATATATTACAATTATTTTCGACCTCTTCCGAATGTTATTTACGACGCCCAGCTACAAAAAAAAATTTCATGATTGCATATTGCTCATTTTGCACTAAAGTAGACTTATGCGCTGGAAATAAAAATAGTAAAAATAAATTAAATTCAAATACAATTCAAATCAAATATATAACATTTTATTCAAGATTATCATATCGAGATGCTAGCGGTGATTCACCTTTGAATTTTTTTTTTCTGACCTGAGCGAAAATATTTTAGAGGGATTGCAAAATTTGTTATATTATATAACATAAAAAATCATCCTCAGGCACGGAGACTGTTAGAATCACCGGTTTTGTTTTAGATTCAGCCAAAGAAAAACATGTTGATGTTGTTCTATATACTAATAATGACACTAATTGGTTGTAAAGATTTTAACTTATTAAGCATCTTAATCCACAAAAAATAAATTAGGCAAATTCTTTCCCCAAAAAAATAAATCTGGACAAGTCTCGACCTCTTAACCACCATCATCACCATTGTTTGCACAGGTTCATATTTAGGGGTTTTTCATATAACTGGAGGGTGACCTATCTGAAATTAATCTCTTTTTCAAAATGAAGCACCCTAATGTCCAACCGCTTACATAAATATGGATTGGATTAGACAGCAATGGGTATTTTTTGAGTAAATACCTTAGTGTCATGTTGTCAAAAACGTGATCTTGCTATAGTACATTGGTATTAACCAATGCTTCGCTAATGAGTGTATCAGATCCCTACGACATTAAACCTTATTGATTGGTTCTAAAAGAATCATGAGAATGTACCGCTTACTGCCTTTCACAGCTGCAATGACTACCTCCGGTAGTTACAAACAAACTAAACATTCTTGACCCACTTTTATATCGACGTTGATCCTTCGTTGCACAACAAGTTGAGCCTATGCTCACCTTTAATCGTGCTCTCGGTGTTGATATACCCCTGCCAAACAGCAAGCAATGTTTATTCTTAAGTTCACCTAAAGTCCGAATCCGTTCCGAACCAGGTGCAATCTTAGAATTTAGCATGGTTTCCAATATCCAAGGCCACGCGACGATGCTTGCTGAGGCAAAGTCAATGTACTAAGCTAAATACCTACTACCGAGTAAGCACCGTAAGCAGAGGTCTACAGATTTCTACAATGACAAACCACTTCCAAAGTGCACCCGTTCAAGACGGCCACGGTAGAATCTTTTATAAATAACGTGAAACCAGTTTTCTGATTGAATTATTGAGGTACTCAATTACAGCACATGCTCTTCTAATGGCTCGGTATGGTTATGGATTGAGTTTTCTGCTAAGTAAACGATCAGTACAAGGTCTCAAAGTAGTGGTGGTTCAGCGCAAGCATATCGTGCCTGCAGAGGTAGAATTATCTAGCTGGTATGATCAATTCCACTATATGGCTGGAAGGCACGATTATTCATATACAAACACAAATAAGGTTCTTGTAGATTAGTGAGATTTGTGATACATTAGAATGGATTCACTGCATTGATTTAATCTAGCGTAAAAGTATAAATTAATCTGATTATGTTGCTATTATCTACTGTACTTGATCCATGCAAAAGTGAAACATGAAAGTACAAATTCTAGCGTTGTTCTGAAAAGTAAAATCATGATGAAAGTAATTCTACTGACAGTAAAAATCCATACAAGCCTTTTGTTCCCAGTTTATCATTTACTAAAGGCCTAAAGGTTTGACTTTTGACACAGTTCTTGGACAGGGGTTTTCAAACGTTTTTATTTCAAGCGCGCAATCAGATAAGCAAATCCTGGTACCTGGTAGGTTTATTTGGAAAAAAGGTTTATTTGGAAAAAAATTTCAAGATTCTGGGACCTACAAGGATTTGTGATTTTCACCATTTTAAAGATTTTTTAGTTACCAGAATAGATGAGAATATCAAATCAATAGCAAATTTGAATTTTAAAATTCGGTAACAGAACATATATAATTGCTGTTAGTTTAATTTATATAAAAGGTGCAATATCAAAAATAACATTAATTAATCTATGGGACCATAATTGAGGTAAAAATCTTGAATCGTAAATATTATTCTTATTTCTGGCTTGGGAACAGTTTTAAGGCTCTCGAACGTTGAAATCGGTAAGGATGCAGAGTAAAATAAGATCTATGTCCGAGTAGACGATAATATCAAATCAATAGCAAGTTATGCTATTAACATTGGGGAACAGAACAGAAAAACTAGGGGAGCATAATTGAGTAAAAGCAAAGTCAGTTGTTGCCATATCTAAAGAATAGAGAAAAAAAATCATAGCAAAACGATATCACATTTTGCTGTTATATCTTAACAAACTATCATCAGATTATAATTAGTTCTTGAATTCATGTTACCAAAATATCTTGTACACACTTAGAAAAATACATGTAATTTAGGTGCTTCGAGTGACATATAGGAGCATCAAATTTGACATAAATTTGAATCATAACAAAATACATCCGGCTACATAGGAATTCTCAATTCTGCGCGTTCGGATGTGAAGTGATGTTTTCGTTATTCCTAATATTGTTTGCTCAATAAATTGAAAACATTTGTATCAGTTGACTTGTGTTCCATATAAAGTATGAATAACATTGACAAAACCTGCTGTTCTGTTAATTTAGATGCCAAAATACAACATTGAATGCACAATCACTGCTTTATCTTAACACTTAGAAATAGTCGCGGAATATAGCTTAATCAAACGTACTTTTCGTCGAGCAACGAACTTTTCAGTCTCGAAGCACTTAATACTATATGCGTCTCATTTTTATGTCAAAGATGGATTCCGTCACGTGTAAAATTAGTTATTTCTAAGTGTGTATCTTATAAGAAAATCAAACCCCTAGCGAGGTAGATCGTTGCCTTCATCTATAAACATCAGAATTTGTGAGTATACCTCGGATGTGGACTTAAGATGCCTCCGGACACACACATCTAGCAATAGTAGGTTTAATTGGTTTGGTGAGGATTCGATTGCTATATATTGATTTGGTGAAATCATGTCATCATTATTACTATAAACACTTAGAAAAATTGATGTAAATTTAAATGCTCTGAGACTGACATATACGACCGTCAATTTCGACATAAAATTGAGCCATAATAAATTTGAATTTCAGCTCATTCGAACTTTTCAGTCTCTGAGCACTTAATTTTACATTACATGTGTGTTTACCCTTTATGTCAAAGATGGATTCCGTCACGTGTAAGATTTCTAAGACAACTGTTGCTGTCTTTCTGAATATAGGCATGAGATGACTCATTACATTTACTAGCCTTTAAAAGGAAACACATGTCTAAAAGATGTAAAATTGCAGGTTTTTGAAAAATCATCAAAGTCAGTAAAATTGAGTACAGTAACTGAAGTTTACGTCACGACATGTAAAAATATGTCGTCAGTTTTTGGTTCGAGTAAATTTAAGAAAGGATGTTAATTTAGGTCAATTAAGCCGTTCATGAAATTTTTAAGTGTGTGTGTGTGTGTTTTTTTTTTCTAGCTGCAGTAATTTAAAGGAATGTGCCTTACGCTGCAACAATTAATTCTGCGAGCCAAATCTAAAATCACATTTAAACTACATTTGTGATATCTTCGGTAATTTTCATCGGATTTCCGATTTTTATCTTGTTGGAAAGGATATTAGATCTCCTTTATTATGGTTTATTTGGTCATGTCACATGGTGGTTGGTCGTATTGTTAATTGCGTTTTTTGATCGTCAATGTTTATTGTGTCGGTTGAAAAGCCGTTTTATCAAGTTAAAATTGATTGATTTCTCCTTGAACATTTTCCCCTGAAAGTTAATAAAATTATCTTGTAGAATGCTACGCAGTATTATGTTTAGTTCCACTACCGAATGAGTATTAGCATTTGAAAAAAGTAAAGAAATTGAAAATAAAAATCTGTATTTTACGGTGCAATGACAAAAACAGGTAGCATGACCAACGTATTCATGAAAAGTTAAGGAAAAAACGTTTGTAACGGTATAAAAACATTAGAAAGCGGATAAATAGAATCCAACAAACAACATTTAGAAAAAAGTGTCATGTTCATTTTCAATTTGAAACTCGAAGAGTTAATGACCTATATTAAATGTTAAGTTAAAAAAATATATTTTATTTAAATTACCAAATTTTACCAAATATTTCAAATTTCAAAAAAACAGCATTGTGCAAACTAGTAGAAGCTTGCTGGAGCACTAAGCGCTGCGCGGAGTACAATTTAGAAACCACTGTTCTAGCAAAACACTTATCATCTTAACGAGGAAGTTAGACTCACCTAAACGCCAGTGCGAGTTTGTTCTCGAGGTATCGAATCATGGAGTTGATGAACGTTGCCGGTATCGCTATGCCGAACCATTTCAGAAGCATAAGCACAAAATTTTTTACATCTTTTCTCACAATATACTTGACAATGGCGCCCTCCATTGCGGCTACATAAATGCTCAGGAAGGTTCGTGATATGAGGCACGTGGTGTGAACTACCAGCAGACCCGTCTCCTCGCACAAAACTCGTGGCACCATAATCTGGATCAACTTCTTCAACTGAAGAATGAACTCTAGGTTAAGGCCAGGCTGTTTTTTCCGTCTTAGTTTCTTCTCGATGATTATCTTCTCGATTTTTTCCTCGGGATCTTCGATGTTTGCCTTGGTAAGGTTGTTGTTCTCATTTCTACTAAGACCATTATCACATTTAGTTTCTATTGTACTTTTACTACGATCTAGTTGTTGCTTGATAAATGGGTAGGATAATTTCACGCAATAGGCCAACAGTGCTGTGCTAACCAAGCCTCCTGACACAAGCTCTTTGGAGTAACCCAGCTCCTCGAGTTTGTCGAAGGACTTTTTGGCAAACTTTGATATGACAGTCGGCATTTTGATCAACTGTTACTTCCGGTTCTGCACAACTATTGCACACCCGACACGCAGACTGGAAGAATGATTGCTGCTCTCCGTTCAACCCATCCTAGATGACTGCAGCTCAGTCCATCTGAAAGTGAAAAAACAAATGAAGAGGAAAATTACTGCCTCTGAGAGTATGTACACAGCCTCAAGCTTAAAATTGAAGTGAAGGATGTTGAGGTTCTTTTTTTTTGCGTTATACCTATGTGTTTTTTGTAGGAAGTGAGCAGAACATACTTTTTTATTTTTATTGCTCCTGAGTAGATCTTTACCTTCTATGACTGAAGTGAATGTTTGGCTTTGTGTGTCTGATGGTGTCTATAATTTGTTTTGTCGGTCTTATATACTAGACAGTGGCAGTGAAAAAGTATGGCAGTAATTACATGGATCGAATGATAAATTCTTTCATCAGATGAGCAAAATTATCGATACATGCTGGTAATAAAAGCAATCTTATGTGAAACCTCTTCTTCTGTTTGGCCTTATAACACCCCTACTGGGACTTTCCACCGGCCCTCAACTTAGTCTTCTAAGCGCACTTCCACAGTTGAGAGCTTTCTAGGCCTGTACCATTTTTGCATTAGTATTATTGTGTAGCAAATACAATCATACTCTATACCCAGGGAAATAGAGAAATTATACATCCCTAAAACTTCCTAGACCGGACCGGGATTCGAACCTAGCATTGTCTTGCTATATAGCTACGCCTTTACTGACTGAGCTAAGGGAGGTCCAATGTGTAACCTCTATGAGACAAAAAAGTTAGAATAATAAGAGACGAACCCGAGCGCATCACGGGGAAGTATGAATGAAAAAAGAGTGACCAAGAACATTTTTCGAGACGTCAATTCATGGCCATGCAATGAATAAACGTAAAGTCGCGTAGTTCACATACATTACGCGCAATGTCTACGTCAGTAAGAAGATTGGCTAGCAGAAACAATGGTCTGCATAGACAACCTGCAAAACATAGCATGATTCGGTGTGAGTGACGATGGAAGATTGATTGAAGTCTCATTACGCAGCAATTATATGTGGTGATTGGAAAATAGGTATCTCAAGGTGGCAAAAATGTACCTAATCTTCATCGTTGTGTTAAATAAAAACATGAATTGCAGATTCAAACATTTAAAGGTTTTGCGAGTCAAGTGATTAGGTATTAATCATTTTTAAATACTGTACCTCCCGCAAGCCGTAAAAATAACGCAACTGTTCATATAGCAAATCGTAGGAAGAGCAAACCTCAAGATGGTTCGAATCCCATCCTCCATCAAGAGTTTTATAATACTGCAAAGATTTGCTCTAACTGAAAGTTGACCATGATTATCATATAAACATCAACAAACGAAGGATATACTTAATGAGAACTATGTACATTATGGTAGTTCAATGTATCGATTTTGCTCCACCCCAGTCAACTGATTGACACTCTCCGAAAATTTGATCTCATTTACATACAAACTCGTACTGCACTGACCCTTTGAAAATTATATGGGAATTAATATAAGAAAAATTAACATTTGTGCTGATCATCCTAGCCCTTCGCCATAATGATATACGCAAATGTTAACAATATGCACTTATATGATATTTCCCCAGCTAAAACTTTCCTGCAGACCACTTTTTAAATGATCGTCAGAATAAATAGTTCAATAAAAAAGTGTCTTCAGCTAATTTTACAGAAGTGCAGAAGTCAAAAACTTTTTAGTATTTCCTATATAAAATTCAAGTGCCAATGCAGTACAAGTTCACATCCAAATGAGCTCAAATTTTGGAGAATAATCAGGACCTAATTTGGAATCAATTGATTGGGGTGTAGTAAAATGTTATGCATAATATGTTAGGCTTACGGATATGGATAATGCTTATTTGGTACTGTTTGACTGAAAGTTGATGTGATTTAGAAAAGGCTTTTCAGTCTCGACAAAATTAAAATGTTAAGATTGTGTTTTGACTTAAAACCCATTTCCATCGCACATACGGTAGCACAGTGTGCCAAAAATGCAACTGGGTTAAACAAAAATACCTATACCCTGAACAATTCACGTTGTCATCTCACGGCAGAGATCGTCTATGCGACAATAGCTCCTAGTACGTAAATAATTGCATGATCCTTTGTACTGGAGGCGAACCAGCCCCAGGCTGAATGCCTCCTTAATAAAGAAAACCTAACCTGCATGATCCTTTTAGTATTAGTACAAGACTAATGGTACAAGACACTGAAGAAGTCTGCATTTTGTACACGAAATATGCAAATCTGTCAAGGATAAGCAAATAAGGTAGTAGAATTATATGGAAACTAATAATCTCTTTCATTATACAGGTATTCCACTAAGACGCCACATTCATCAGGAAAAAGTGTTGTTTTTGATTCATTACTATTGTCTTGTGTCAAGAATATGCATGGAAGCTTTACTTTATGCGATACGTTCAACCGTTGGTTTATAAAAGGGAAAACGGTTAAATTGCCTATGGTTTTCATTTTACCCTCAGTTCCCCTAGCTATTAAAAGAAGCATTTTCGAGGCTCGATGAAGTTCCTCATTAAAATGAAAATCATCTACATACAGTGTCTACTGTTGGTCATAATACCGCGGGACGCGTATTATCCCAGGTCACGTTCATCAACCATGAAAAGTCACGCCACATGGTTCTGTATTAGCATCGAAAAATCCGGATAATTTTTTTTTATCAAAATCTCCACTAAGTGTTGCAATACCATGGATGACATATCCTGATATTTTTATATGCTGTTATAGAATAATATGAAAGAAAAAATAAATCAGTTATAACTTGCTAAAACGGTTTATCTCAACTTGACATGAAATCAATAACCATAAAATAATTTATCAATCAAATCCCTATGTGACATGACCAATTAATTCATAAGTAAAGGAAACTAATACTAATCCATTCCAATGAGATCAAAGCATCAGAAAAGGGATGAAAATTTCCGAAGATGATACAACAAATTTAATTATCTAATATTGGAAAACTTTATTTTTGTTTAGAGCTCAAAGAGTTATTTCCGTCTACTATTTATTTATTGGGATATGAAACAAAATAATATGCAACATTATCGGAAATACCAAAATCATACTTTGGGTGGAAATATGTTTAATTATCCACGAAATTACAGGATTATCGCATTGCTTTGAAAGCTTCAAAGATTATAATTAAACTTTTATTCTTAATACATAAGTTCACAGTAATTTTAATCTAATTTCTTGGCTTGGTTCAGTCGCATAATAAGGAAAACAAAGAGTTACTAGTTCGCATCGTTTCGGTGCAATGTATTTTGTCTTCTTCTTAGGATAATAGTGATTGTTAGGTTGTTCACAAATATTATTCTATAGTTATCTACTTAAAACTAAATTGACAGGATTTGGATCCAAATTACTTTCTTCAAGTCCTTTGAGTCCCACTAGTAATGGCAACTCTTTCAACATGCTTTCAAATTCTTTATATATTCAATTTGCCATCTTTAGAAAGCTTAGCTAATCGTATCTGGTGAGTAGTAAATATATGATGCTTAATAGAGTATCGGATACTGAATACGAACTTCTGGAAAGATAACCAGTTACATGATTGTGTTTTAATAGAGAATAAGAGAACATTAAACTTTGTTTTCATTTACTCCCACTTATAAAGTACCGATTGTACATACATGGATTAAGAAAATAAGGTCATTTTGAGTTTCACCAACTGACACAAATCTCAATTTGTAGAGTATTGTTCGGTTAATACTACTAATTACAAACTGTTTGTGTATGACTTCGGATTGTCCAAAAATTGTTTGCCAACTATCTACAAAGAGGCTATTTGTTTACGAACCCAGTGCGCGGTCAAGAAAATTTCGAGAGTCTGTGAGATTTCACGGTCAAGCCTCACAGGTTTCTCGCTAATTGCAGTTAATAATTCTCTAAATTTGAGGGGTCTTTCTTAACTCAATCAGTACAAGCACAGCAAGACCATGCTGGAGTTAGTAGGTTCGATTCCCGGTTAAGAAATTACCCGAGTTGTAAAGTTTCTCGACTACCCTTGACATAGACTATTATTGTTTTTGCCATTCAATTATACGAGCAAAAAGGTGAAGGCTATGAAAACAATCACTTATCAACTCTGTTGAGGTACTCAAAGAATATAATATCAAGGGTAGGCATGAAGTTCCAGTTGGGATGTAATAGCCAAAGAAGAAGAATTCTCTAATTTGATCCACCGTTGCTGTACTGCTATACCCATACATATTCACCAACTGGTACGGCTTCGATTAATGTCTCCTTGAGCAAATCATACTGAAAGTTCAGGCACGGCAAAAGACAGTCGAAAATAAACTTTTGCATTTATGGGTAGAAAAAAATATCGGTAAAGGAGAGGTACAAGTACTTTTGACAATGACCCACATCTCGATGCAGTTGTAGTGACTGAACGAGGCATATTCACCATCACTGGCCAGTCAGTTTATTATGGCAGAGCAGCATGCTTGAACTTGGTACACACGGAAAGATGTTGTGTTCAATTATTGTTGTTGTTGCTATACATATGTACTTTCGGCCCATCACCGATACGTATTTACATGCAACATATGCGAATGAACTTTGGTCCGACAGGAAAACGGTGATAAACAAGGAAAAGAAAAGTTAAGGTCAGGTCAGATCAGGTCGAGTCAGTGGCACATAACAAGGTACAAAAAGGAAGCATAATGATGATGGCTGTGATCATGACCTTGTTATTACGGGAGGATAAGGATTGTATTTTTACATTTTGCTTCAATAAAAATAAATATACTATGCAGCACAATAATATTTAAATCTATGACAACCTACAATGCAATAAATTAAAAATTAGTGCCAAACTATTCTTCTTAGATTTGCATTCGTTTGGTTGCAACAATTTTACTATACTGGTCTTTGAAAAATTATGGTTTACTAAATATATGCTCCACTATCTCTCCATTGCTGGTGAAACTGTTGAATTTATTATAGAGAACCAATATTTTCGAATAGATTTCGTTGTTTGTTAAATATTGATCATATCTGTTCACAAACATGTGGTTTCTTTATGTCCTTTAACCATTATGGAGCATTTA